TAAAAAATGCTCATGGGTACAATGACTTTGAAGTATATATATTTCCATACTCCCAGTTTTTAAAAGAGTGAGAACTACTCACCTTTCGTCTATTTAATCTTTGTCGTATTTGATCGGCCATCTGCGACCGTGAAGCCTAAGAATTTCGAAGAACCACATCTTAGTAAGTATTACGCCACAATGATACATATATAATAATAAGCTTAAAATAAGTATCTACCTAGGTCATTAGTTCAGGTTCGGGTTTCTACTAGGTCTCATCGTTTTAGATTATAAATTATACATGTAATCATGTAATGGTGTCCGAAGCACAAGCTAATGAATATCAAGGTCTTCACTGATGTTTACTCAGCAAATTAAAGTTGGCACAGGCCATTGATTATTTAATTAGGCGAGACCACAAATTAGTTGATTAAGCAAGAAATAGAAGTTACGAGTATACATTTAATGAGCAAGAAGCCATGAGTACTGTGTCTCAAAGTTGATATATGCATCCTAAATCTACCAAAGACGTGCCTAACTTCCAACCAGTAGTCCAATTAAAACTTAAAAGAAAAAGAACATACTATAGTAGTTAGTTCTGGCTAAAGAAAGAATTTAGATCATTTACAAGACTAGTTATTCCATATATTCTTTATTATTCTAGATTAATTAACGTATAGCTAAAATATATGTTGGGCTTAAGAACGGAAATAGGAAGCACAACTCGTAACAATCTTACTAATCAAAGGGATCGGTCGAAACTTCATTGAAGAGCTCCTTGTTGCACCTAAATCCTTGAACTCTCCTTAAGCCTTTGCCTTCTCTTTCCTTTCGGATTTTTCCTAATAAATATTTAGGATATAGTTTTCTTTTACTCCCTTCGTCCCATAATTATTGTTTACTTTTCCCAAAAAATTTTCTCCCAAAATTATTGTCCAATTTGACTTTTTATGGATCAAGTTACACATTTGTCCTCAGTAAAAAACATTATCCATAAAATCTTAGTGATTAAACAATTACTTATGTAGGGGTATATCCGGTTGTTTAAGGTAAAATATAGTTAAGTTTGACAAAAAATAAAATCTTTCATTTTAGTAAAACTGGACAATAATTATGGGACGGAGGGAGTATTATTCTGATTCAAATTGGAGTCTTAAAACTAAAAGGATGAGGACGAAAAGGGGTCACAACCAGCCGAGGATGATGGTAAAATTTTCTGAAGAAGAATTAGGAAGGTCAGTGTACAAAGAGGATGGTGGAGTTGCGGAGGAGGGCTTGAATACTATTGTGTCTATTGTTTTATTTTGGACTTCTAAAGGAGAGATAGCTTCCTTTGGTTTTGAGCTTAGCTTAACTTCCACAAGACGGTTTAGAAGTCAAGAAATCTGATGGTTCGGGAAAGATTATGTGGCGGGGTGGAGGTTTCTTAGTGTTGGGTGTTGGCAGCCCCCAATGAAAGGTGATGAAAATGAATATCAAAACTTGATAAGGCTCACTGATTCTTTTTATAACTGATAACTAATAAAACTAATGGTTCAAGAAGATATGCTTTGGCGGTGGGCAATTTTATATACCAAAGAAGTAGAACCAAACCTTGCTAGAAGGAATGGCTAAGTTTTGTATTGGACGCAGTGAGTACGCATACTTCCTTTGAGGGTGAGAGAAATATAATTCAACTTTGAAGATTGGACCATAAAAATGTGCTGTCGGTTGGGTGCATTCTGAAAAAGAAACTGTATTGATCCAGAAGCTGTGGTTCTATGTTCCTTTACCGTTAAATGCCTCTCTGAGTTTAGTTTATTTAATACACAACAATCGGATCGTAATTTAAAATTTTTTATCATTAGTTATAATTATTTTACTAAAATTGCGCAATCTTCTTTTGCTTAAACTTTATATACGAATTTTAATCAAACAATTCAACTTGTTTGTTATTATAGTAATTATCTAATCATTTATTTTCCATAGAACGCATTTTTTCTCCACCGTCCTAAATCCTACAATTTTTCTAATTGTTTATTAATATCTAAAAGATTTCTGGTTGTATTTGGTGCTCCAAAGTCCTCAAAATGAACATATTTTGTTCGGTGCTACATACTTTTTTGTTTTCTTAGTATTCGCCTTCCTAATTACTCATCTACCTTAAACTAATATTATATTACGCAACCTCATTTATTAATAAAGGATAAATTAATGCTCTACTGCTTCAAATTTGACTAAACTTCCCACTCAGGTTATTACCTCCATACACGTCATTCTCATTTTATATATATTTTTTCAACTATATTTAGTTTATTTAATTTTGTTTCTCGATATTTTAATTATTATAGTCTAAAGTCCTGATTTACTAGGACGCTTTTCTTATTTTTAAGTATCTTCAACGGTAACACTAGATATCAAGGTATTTAACTGAACTATTTATAATCAGATGAAAAATATCTATATTGTAACAGTAAAATTTAGTGACTTCGACTTAACAATAATTAATAGTATTCAACCTAACACGTCAAAATTTGAAGAAATTACAGTTACCGAATCATTATATTACGAATACAATTCAAAACTAAGTCTAGATACATTAAATGTATATTAGTATTATTTTAAATGATTCCATTTGATATATTTTTCAAAAAAAAAAAAAAGTCATCAAAATATAAAGAGTAGTTGTCAAATCATTATATTATGAATACAATTTGAAATCAAGTTTAGATACATCATACATATCCTAATATTATTTTTTAAATAATTTCATTTGATGTATTTTTCAAAAATAAAAAGAGTTTAATTATAAAAACTAAAAAGAGATTAGTTAGCAAATGATTATACTACGTACGTACATAATTGGGACTAAATCTATATCCATTAAACGTGGATTAACATTATTTTTTATGATTCCATTTGAGATATTTTCCAAAAGTAAAAAGTGATTAGTTATAAAATATAATGTTATGAATACAGTTCGAAACCAAATCTAGATACATTAAACGCAGGTTAATATTATTTCTCAGATGATGTCCTTTGATATATTTTTCAAAAATTAAATAAAAAAGATTAGTTATCAAATTATTATGTTACGAATACAACTCGAAACTAAATCCGGACACATAAAATGTTGGTTAGTATTATTTTTTTAAGATGATTCCATTTAATGTATTTTTAAAAACAAAAAGAGTTGGGTTACCAAAAATAAAAAGAGATAAGTACCAAATAATTTTTCTTACAATACAATTTACATCCAGATCTGAATACGTTAAACGTAGGTTAATATTATTTTTCACATAATTCCATTTGATATATTTTTCAAAAATAAAAAAAGATTAGTCACTAAAAAAATTAAAGAGGTTACGTTCTAATTCTCTCCTTTTCTTCCCTTCCCCTTCGTCCTCTATCTCTTCCCCCTCCCTCCCCCCTTCGATTTGAATCTCCTTTTTTTGTCTGAAAGATATACACTGGTATCTCTCTTTGTTGAGTTGTAATTCTAAATGGATGTTTTTCATTTGTTGGTCGAAAAGAGAGTATGTTGAGTTTCAATTGACATGGTAAGTTATACTTTAATATTATTAACTCAGTGTTTAGAGTGATTGTTAGAATTTCACTTGATTTCTTAATTTTGCTTGTGTTAAAGAAGGTCCGTTAGCTTATTCCAGTGTGGATACTTTTGAACGACCTTCCATCTGATTTATGATTAATAATGGGAAATGTGGCCGTTAATTGCAAAAGGTGCATCAATAGAAAAAATCTATATGATTTTTTCCCTTTGTTTTGAACTATTAAATAATTATTTTATCTTGCATTTTAAACTTCGACATCATAAGGAAAATTTTGGTATTACTGACATACGTTTTCTTTTCTAGAAGGGAGGCATCATTTTTAGAACATGCATTATATTTTCATGTTAAGGATTTCCGTTGTATGTCATTGACAAATATTTATGAGTATTGATGGTTTTATTTTTAAACAATCGCGAGGGTCTCATTTTGGTATGTTTTGCACAGTTACTATTATAGAAATTTTAATGGGTTTAGCTAAAAAATAGTTATACTTCAATCTCGGTCTAAAGGAACCAGATAGACTAAAACGAAATTGCTCAAGCCCTAGAGTCTGAAGGTAAATATATATTATTTGAGATATTAATAGTTAAATATATTTACTTTAAGTGCATGATTATCTATGTGTTTTGGTTTTACAGGAGAAGTGTGGGACCATGATAGCAAAAAGAATAAGTACCTCGAAAAGCACTCATAACTAAGGAAAAAGTTATGAATCTAGATAAATAAAATGGGTCCTGCACTCGCTAGGCACAACCAGTTTTGCTATTAAAAAAAACTAAGGAAAAAATTTGGAGTGTGGATAAGTATTTCAAAATTATTTATTAGTTTTTTTTTGTCATGGTTTTTTCCCCTTATTTTTTGTGCTTTATTTACTTTTGTTGGAATTTTCTTTTTTTTTTCTTTATGCCTAAAAGAAGATTATTTATAATATTTGATTCAATTACTATAAGTAAACAATATATGCTTTTCAGTCAATATATTTTAAGAATATACATGATTTAATTTCTATTGTTGAAAATAACTTTTATATACGTATATCCCTAAAAAGTAGGATGGTAGAAAATTGATCATATTAATTCGTATTTAGATTATTTTGTTTTTGATATAGTACCACTTCTAAACAATAAGCATATTAGATAGTTGAATATAGTAATTTTCCTATTTTAAAATACCCTATATGGCTAAGAAGTACTTGATCAAAGTGGTCACAGTATTGGACCATCCATGATTAAATCTGTACATGGGCATGTACGTCACGACCAGGGGCCTTGGGGGTGGTCGGAAGGCAGAAATCGGAGAAACAGACGGTAGACCAGAGGAAAATTAGGGTTCAAAATTGGGGAGAACGAAGAAGAGAGTGGATTGGAGAAAATCCAATTTGGCATTAAGATTTTCGATAATTCAATTCCAACCCCACTGTAGACTATTTATAGTCCACAAGTTACAAAAAATACCAACAAGTCCCTAGAGTTTCTTTTTCTTATAATTTAGTCCTATAACTTAGTACAGGGGATGACAGACTCTTCCCCTTAAAAACAGTCTTGTCCCCAAGACTGTGTTTCAGAAACAAACTACAGAATACAACTTAAATAACTATGACAGCTTACTGTATACTAACACCAAATGCGAATGACTATAGATGAGAGAATTAGCACTACGGGAATATAAAAATGAAGGATTGATTGCCATCTTCAAGGAGACAACTTCTAATACGTGCCAAGCGATCAACCAAATGAAGTTCGTATCGATGCTTACTGCCATTGTTGCAATTCTTCCTTCAAAAAGATTTGTGCCGCCCTAAAAGTTGTCGCCTTCTCGATCCAGCGAAAGTGTAAGTCTTCAATATTCCAAGGTTCATCAGGATTCTGCTTTGACACTGCTCCGACAGCCTTTGCCCAATTGTGTCTTCATCCCTGCTGAGACTTTCAGTGCAAACACAGGACAATCAGCTTCCCTTTTAGACTTTGAAATTTTAAACAAGGAAGTTACAGCTTTTGTTCCCCACGAATCAGTTGCCACGGCGTTGATAGTGCTTGCCAAATGGTGCTAAGCAGTCTTCCAAAAAAAGTTATCTGGAGAAGCACAGATTTTCTCTTTGACACAATCAACATGAAAATAACAATTCTCAAAGAATTCGACTTCTAGAAGTTCATTTCGCCTTGCAACTGGAACACTAATAGCGGGGAGGTTCCCATACGCTACCGCATTACAATGACCAGAGAGATTCAATGGAAGAATAAGGGTATTAACTTCTGGAACCCCACAGGACACCAGTTCCATAAGAATTTTGAAGTTCAAACCCATCAAGTCATAATATTCAAACTTCAAACAGAGAAGTAGAAATTTGACAGGTGGTTCTAAGAAATTTCCCAAGCACTTAAGAGAAAAGTCATTCTTGGTTACAAACAGAAACCTGACAGGTTTAGAATCCTCTATAGTACTACACCATAACAGTTCTGAAAACAGCCAAAAGTAACTTCTCTATTGCTGAAAGAGTATGATTTCACGATTTTAACAATGTTAACAGGCTCACAGATTAGAGTAAAACTAAAGTCCTCATTTCCCAATATAACCACACAGAAAATATCATTTGAATTAAAAATCTTCAAGTTCTGCTCATGATTGTCCCATGGAATGTGATTATAAGAAAAACAATAAATCAGATTAATGTTGGGACAGACGTTAGAACTCCTACCAACTTTAAGCCATACTGAATTTGACTCGCACAATCATAATCCATTGCATTTTTGAAAAACTCATCCCAAACAACACCATAAACACTTCTATTCAGGTTAGACACATTACCTCTGGCTTGAGATTCTTAATGGTAGTTACTTCTATGCAGTCAGGGAATACCTCATGATGTTGCAAGAGTACACCAACATCGGTTTGCACCCTCAGCCCAAACAATAAGGATTTCCAAGAAATTACCATGCCTTTCAAATTTTCAGAAAACATCTTGTGCCAAATCACATACTTACAAACAACATTCTTCGGATTCCAACCAGCAACTGACACTTCTAATTCATCAAACAGATTAAGAATTTGGCCACCTCCACGATTCAACAATGCAGACACCGAATGGGGATCACTCAAATTAATTATAAAACACATGCTACTTTCATCTGCCGATCTCATAAACTTCCAAAAATAACCCGCCATCCAATTGATCAGCTCTACATGATTTAGAACATTTGAACATTGGACCTCAAGTTTGACAATTTCTCCAATTATAGTACTATAAGTGTTTCTTTTATGTGCAACTCGTACATTCTTCCCTGCTAAATTAAGGCTTGACCTCAAGCCTAGAGGGTGGAAAATAACAGCGACAACAGCAAAACCATCCAACCCAATCACTAAACAGTCACAGTTTGACTCAATTAAGACAGTGCCAACAAAGCTATCCAAGGTAACTATCGTATTATCATTTTCCTCATTCGAACATGTATGCGTACCAATAGTACGACTCGAACCAGCAACATTTTTTGCCACATACAGAATTTTACAATCACCACTTAACGAAATAGAAGCATACTGAACATCAGAATTCATACAAGTATCACCAGGATAGTCAGGCGAAACAACAACATCAATATAACATTCTATTCCACCACGATCACCATGAAAAGTAGTAGATTCAACCCAATTCAAACATCTATGAACCTCTACTAATACAGTAGCTTCAGAGCTAGAGGCATTGTAATCATGACTGAAATTAGGTTCCTTCAGATCACCGGGTTCAATAGCAAAAGTACTTCGGTGATTTCCCTCAGAAACACAACATAGCAATCCAGACTTACTTTCAAAGGAGTTAAACATGCCATTTAACAACCAATCATCAGCTACACACTCATCATCAGTAAACTCTTTTAGAATTGTAAACTTCCAAGTTAAACCAAAAACCAAACCAATGAGGAAATGCCAATATTTCATAGTCTGCAGAGCTTGAATGTAAGGTTTGAAACAATTATGAGAAGTAGTACCACCCTTAAAACTAGAAACACTTTCAGGCCATAATTTACGCCCAATCATCACACGAATACATCTTATATGACAGAGCCAATGGTCATGAATTTTAGCAGCACATGAGATAGTTCCAAGCAAACATAAGACTCTGCCAATATACGCAACTGCACAATGACTCCTTTTCACACTAATTATAGTTGCATCAAGTGCGTGCATCAGTTCAGTTGAAACTTTAAGTCATAGCAATTGCTTATTTTCATTTCACGATTCTCATTAACAAATTTGTCGTCCATTTTCATTTATTGAATAATTTCAGGCTTTATATCAGTCATGCAATCAACTTTCAAATCATTCCGCAACCGGAGGACAACACTCCTAGAACTCACAGGGCAAGTATAAACAAAATGTTGAAAATTCCAACTAGTTCCCCCCCTTGAAACAGGTTATTACTTCTGCCCAACATGTTTTCCCAGTACAAATTCCTTCACTAGAAACATGATTAATCTCAAGGGAAACTATATTATCCTCCTTACGTTTATCACAAGCAGAATCATCATCATCAGCCTTTACCATCACAGAATCACCCTTCAATTCCAGAAAATTATCAATAGAGTCTATAGATTCGGTGAGTTCTACACTTAGAGTTGAGGAATTACCATTTCCATCAACGCTATCAGAGGAGCTGTCAGTAGGCAAATAAACATCATCATTTTCCTCCTCGAATGCTTGCGTCTCAGATTCCACCGCTACAACTTCATCAATTTCTTCAACTGCTATGATTGACGTTCCTCCTTGTTCTGACTCTAACCCGCTGGCTTCCCAAACATTAACCACTATTGTAGGCCGGAGAACTTTACCAAACCGAAGTTCTAGCTGAAAGGCAAAATCCTCCCAATTATCTAATAGTGAAGCATATTCCATACCGTACAGAAATTGGAGTGGCTGTCCGGCCATGTAAAAAGAAGCCGTGACTAAGTTCTTACTGGATGGAATGCGATGATTCAAGAAGAAATGCTCAATTCGTTCCAGCCAACCACCGACGTCTTCACCGGAAAAAAGGAAAACTCCGGTTCTCGAAGGCTCCGGAAGGTTATGAGAGGACGGATTTGAAGGTAAAGCTTCGGATGGAGGGAGTGACAAAAACGCTTTAACCCTAATTCGGTGTTCACTGGAATTGGCCATTTCAATCGGCGAAAAGCAAAAGGAAGACGGAAATGAAGAGATGTTAGTGCGAATCGGGGAAACGGAGAAATCGCACAGATTCCAGAATGAAGAAAGGAGAAATAGATTTCAGAAGTCAGAAGGTTCGAACAGAAGGGGGAAGAAGAGGAAGAATCGAATGGGTAAAATCCGATATAGAGTCAGCCAAGAATCGGCTGGCTCTGATACCAAATATCACGACCGGGGGCTTTGGGGTGGCCGGAAGGCAGAAATCGGAGAAACAAACGGTAGACTGGAGGAAAATTAGGGTTCGAAGTTGGGGAGAACGAAGAAGAGATAGGATTGGAGAAAATCCAATTTGGCATTAATATTTTCGATAATTCAATTCAAACCCATTGTAGACTATTTATAGTCCACAAGTTATCAAAAATACTAACAAGTCCCGGGACTTTTTTTTTCTTACAATTTAGTCCTATAATTTAGTCCAGGACATGACAATGTAATAATGATTGTTGGGAGAGATTTATCTTTCAAAAGTGATATACCCGATTCGAAGACGGATTAGTTGGAATAATGATTTCGAACATCAGATTCACTATATATCAAAGATGAAAGAAGAAAAAAAAATCCATATGACACTCTTGAATTTGGACTTCAAATGCCTAGTATATCAAAAAACAGAAAAACTAAAACATATGATACTTTTCATAGGAAAATAATGATATATTAATGTTACTCTAAAACATAGTAAAATCCGCACAACGTTCGAGCATAATACTAGTAAAATTTTACTCGACTATATTTGAGACTTATTACGCAATCTAAAAAAACTCAAATAACAGCCCCATTATCTCAACATTTCAATTACACGTAGGAGAAAAAAAAGCTTGTTGATCAAGTTCCATCAATTTTTTATTATTCTTGACAATTCTAATTTATTATTGAACTGCTTTTATATTCTCGAAAAAATCTCCGCATTTGTATTTGGATTGTCGATGCCATTCAAACCATGTAAAGTGTTATTTTATTTTGTGTTTGAGGTTTGGATTTTGTTTTGTATTTGGTAAATAGTTTGAAAATATTTATCTGGTAAAAAATAATTCTCCAAATAGTCATAACTGTCATCACTATTCATAATACGGCCATTGTTAGACCACCGTCAACTGATAACCAATACATATTTTATACTACCTCTTGTCCCAAAAAATAATCCACATTGAGTTTAGAATATTTTTTTGGAATGGTAGTAATTGTTATCATGGGCACTAGTAACTCTTAGACCACCGTCAACGGGTGACTTGCCGTCAGAGGTCAGAACCACCATGGACAGGCAAATGAAAATTATTTTGGAGATTGTAATTCACATTAACATTTTCTTTACAATATTGCACATCCGTGATGCAAAACCATGTTATGATATATGTATATATATTTGTATAGGGTTAGTTTCGTCCTTTGTACGTACTAAGGTTTCCACCGTAAACCATAAATGATGTGTATATATAGTCCCTCTGTGGACCAATCAATGCAGTATAATATTTTATGTCGATCATTTAGTTTGTGTCATGGTATCAGGCTAGGTTTTCTTTGTGGCCGTACCTTAAAAAATTTTTTTCTTTTTTTTCCTGCCGCCGGCAACCCTTTGTGGCTGCACCTCTGTTCCCCTTTGTGCGATTGTTTACCCCTATACTAAAGCTTTGCTTGTTGTGTGATTGTGTTGCAACTGCCGCCGATGTGTTGCCATCGTTGTGCCGTCGCTGTGATTTCTTTTCTTCCTCCATCGGCTGCCGCTCAATTCCCTGCTACACCATCGCCAGCCGCCGTCCGTCCGGCTTGTGCTCAGTTCGTCTGTCCGTCTGTCCGTCAGGCTTAGACTTCATCGGCTTGTGCTTTGTCCGTCTGTCCGTCCGTCAGGCTTGGTTTTGCCGTCTATCCGTCCGTCGCTCAAGCCGTCTGTGATTTCTTTTGCTTTGGCGTCTGTCCGTCCGCCGCTGTCTGTTGATTGCCAGCCGTCTTTGACAGATTTCCCGTCGTCTTTGTCCGGCCCTTTAGTTTTCCGCCCCCCAACAACAACAAAAAAAAAAGAGAAAAAAAAACACAAACAGCCTCGCCGTTTTTGCCTCATGGCGCACGGTGCTGAAGAATCCAGTACTCCATCTCCCACCCTTCTTTCCGCTGGTACTGCTGCTCCGCCGCCGGTTCACGATGTTCCCAAACGTCGTACGATTACTCTGTACGATCTTACTCCCAGTGACAATCCAGGAACCCCGATCACTCAGGTTATGTTGATGACTGATAATTATGATGAATGGTGCTGTGCTGTTCGTACTGCCTTGCGAGCACGAAGAAGTTTGGTTTCATTGATGGCATACTTCCTCAACCGCCAGCGACGTCACCCGATTTTGAAGATTGGTGGACAAATCAATCTTTGATTGTTTCCTGGCTGCGTAATTCCATCGATCCATTCGTTCGTTCCACAGTTCCTCACCGCGAAGTTGCTTCGGTTCTCTAGACAGATCTGCGTGAACACTTTGGCGTTGTGAATGGTCCCCGGATTCAGTAGCTCAAGACCGATCTAGCAAATTGTAAGCAGAAGGGTTTGAGCATGTCGGCTTATTACGGTCGGCTTCAGTTGCTGTGGGAGGAGTTAGACAACTACGAACCACTGCAGTCATGTTCGTGTGGTTCTCCCGTCGTCCTTGCAGAATCGGAACGGCGCCGGGAATCTAAGAAGCTGCATCAATTATTCATGGGACTGGATGCCTCCCTGTATGGCATGCTTCGGTCAAGTTTGCTCTCTCAAGACCCGTTGCCCACTGTCAATCGTGCCTATTCGTTGCTTGTCCAGGAAGAGCGGCTGCGGTCCATCTCCAATGGAACTGATGAAGTTGTAGCCGATGCTCTGAGTTTCACGGTTCAAGCTCCACGGTCTGCCTAGCTTCCCACTCCACCGTCTAGCTGGAATACTTCTCGGTCTCGGTCTGACTCCAAACCGATTGAGCCGAAAGCCAAGTCGATAATTTGCACTCACTGTTCCAAACCGGGTCATGACGTTTCCAGTTGTTTAGATCTTATCGGATATCCCGATTGGTGGCCTAACTCTCGCCGGGATTCAAGTGGTTCGGCTGGCCGTGGCTCGGTTGGTCGGGGTGGTAGTTCCTCCAGTCGTGGGCGTGGCACTGGTTCGGGTCGTGGTTCGGGTAGCTCTGTTGGTCGCGCTAATGCTACTATTGTACCTGGTTCACAGTTTTCTGGCTCTGTGGTGACTGATTCGGATAAAAGTGCGGTTACTGGTCTTTCTCCGAATCAATGACAGACTTTAATCTCCATGCTTGATACTCACCACAAATCGAGTAATACACTCTCTGGTAAGCCTTATTCTCATGAATGGATCTTTGATTGTGGGGCTTCACATCATATGACAAGTTTTTTGGCTTTCTTGACGGATTTGAGGGCTATTTCTCCTCGTCCAGTTCAGTTACCTGATGGTTCTATGACTTATGCGTCGCAGTCGGGTGTTGTTCATTTGAGCCATTCTGTCACGTTGCACAATGTCCTTTATGTTCCGGCTTTGAAGTGCAGTTTGATTTCTCTATATCATTTATTAGAGGATTCTCATTCTGTTGCACAGTTTACTAATAAATTTTGTGTTGTTCAGGACCGTACATCGAGGACTCTGATTGGTGCGGGTGAACAGTTAGGGGGTCTCTACTTCTTTCGTGGCTTGTCTCCTTCTCGGACTTCTCATGTTGTTTCCCCGATTTTATGGCATCAGCGGTTAGGGCACCCTTCTGTGAAGGTTTTAAAGCAGCTGTCTCTTTTTTATTCTAGTAGTCCTGTTTTGAATAAATCTTGTGATATTTGTGTCCGAGCTAAATAATCTCGTGAATCTTTTCTCATTAGTACTTCTAAAAGTGTTGAACTTTTCTCTTTAATTCATTGTGATTTGTGGGGACCTTATCGTACTCCTGCTTTTAGTGGTACTCGTTATTTTTTGACCATCGTTGATGATTTTTCTCGTGCTACTTGGTTATATCTTCTTGATGATAAGAAATCTGTGCCTACTAAGTTATGTGAGTTTTTTGCCATGATTCACAATCAATTTGGGAAATCTGTCAAAATTGTTCGTAGTGATAATGGTTCCGAGTTCTTGTGTTTGGGTTCCTATTTTCGTCAAAAAGGAATTTTGCATGAAACTTCCTGTGTTGGTACCCCTCAACAAAACGGTCGTGTCGAACATAAACACCAACACATTCTTAATGTCGCTCGTGCCTTACTTTTTCAAGCTAATCTTCGTATTCCTTTTTGGGATAATTGTGTCTTGACTGCTGCCTACTTAATCAATCGCACTCCCTCTTCTGCTTTAAATGGGAAGACTCCTTTTGAAATTCTGTATGGTAAACCTCCTTCTCTTCACCACTTGCGTGTTTTCGGGTGCCTTTGTTATATGCATAATCTTTCTCGCGGGGGTGATAAATTCGCTCCCCGTGGTCGCAAGTGTATTTTTGTGGGTTATCCATTTGGTAAAAAGGCCTGGTTGGTTTATGATCTTGAATTACGTAAGTTTTCTGTTTCTCGAGATGTTGTTTTTTGTGAGACTGAATTTCCTTTTGCCAGTTCTTCTTCTGTTGTATCAGACTCTCCTTCTCCTCCAGTTCCTAGTTTCTCTCCTGTTTTCAATGACGATGATTTACCTCCTTCCGAACCAGTTTCTGTTGCCCCCCCCCCCAGTTTCTCCCTCTTTGCCTGCATCACCTCCCCTTTCACCTCCAGCTTCTCCTATCTCGTCCCCTTCCTCTGAGGGGTCACCCATCTTGTCCTCCACCCCCGAGTCTTCTTCTGCGTCTCCTGAACTATTGGTTCGTGGTCATCATACTAAATTTCCTTTTACTCGTCTTCATGGTTTCGCTCGCCATCTTACCTCTCCCTCCGCTGCTCACTCTCCTGCTCAGTCCTCAGGTACTCCTTATCCTATAACACATTTTGTAAACTATGATTCTTTTTCACCCCAGCATCGCACTTTCTTGGCTGCCATTACTGCAGACATTGAGCCTCGGTCTTTTCGTGAGGCGATGCAGGATGCCAAATGGCGTTCTGCTATGCATGATGAGATACGTGCTTTGGAGAAAAATCACACCTGGGAAGTTACTTCCCTTCCTCCTGGCAAGCGCGCCATTGGTTGTAAGTGGGTGTTTAAGATCAAATATAATGCTAACGGTTCTGTTGAGCACTATAAGGCTCGTCTGGTTATCCTTGGTAATAATCAGGTTGAAGGCATTGACTACCAGGAGACCTTTGCGCCTGTTGCCAAAATGGTCACTGTCCGTACCTTCCTGGCTGTTGCTGCCGCCAAAAAATGAGAGCTTCACCAGATGGATGTCCATAACGCCTTTCTTCATGGTGATCTACATGATGAGGTTTATCTGAAATTTCCTGCTGGTTTTCGCACCGACACCTCTGATCAGGTGTGTCGGCTTCGTCGGTCTCTGTATGGTCTTAAACAGGCTCCTCGTTGTTGGTTTGCTAAGCTTGCCCAGGCTTTAAAACAGTATGGCTTTGTGCAATCTTCCGCTGACTACTCTTTGTTTACCCTTCATCGTGGTTGTATTTCTCTTAGTCTGTTGGTATATGTTGATGATCTTGTTTTGGCTGGTAATGATCATGTTGCTATTACTGCTTTCAAACAGTATTTGAGTACTTGTTTTTACATGAAGGATCTGGGCCCTCTTAAGTACTTCTTGGGTATTGAGGTTTCCCATAATTCGTCTGGCATATTTTTATGTCAACGAAAATATGCTTTGGATATTCTCTTGGAAGTTGGTCTTTTGGGTGCGAAATCTGTTACTTTTCCCATGGACCAGAATCATCATCTTCCTCTGGCCGAGGGTTCTCCACTCTCTGATCCTGAGCCGTATCGTCGTCTGGTTGGTCGGTTGATCTATCTTACTGTCACCCATCCTGATATCTCTTACTCGGTTCATATATTGGCTCAATTTCTGCAAGCTCCACAGCAGGCTCACTGGGAGGCTGCTCTCCGGGTTGTTCGTTATTTGAAACTGCATCCAGGTCAGGGTATTTTGCTTCGTGCAGATTGTGACCTCCAGCTCTATAGTTGGTGCGATTTTGATTGGGCTAGTTGTCCTCTGTCTCGGCGTTCTCTCACTGGCTGGTTTATTACTCTTGGTGCTTCTCCTATTTCTTGGCGAACTAAGAAGCAGCAAGTTGTCTCTCGTTCGTCTGCTGAGGCTGAATATCGTGCTATGGCTAATACTGTCTGTGAGTTGAAGTGGTTGAAGGCTTTGTTACTGAGCTTGGGTGTTCGACATTCTTAGTCTATGCGCCTTCATTGTGATAGTCAGTCTGCGCTTCATCTTGTTGCTAATCCGGTTTTTCATGAGCGTACTAAGCACATCGAGGTTGATTGTCATTTTTTGCGTGATGCGTTTATTCAAGGGGTCATTTCGCCTACTTATGTTCCCACTGCTTCACAGCTCGCCGATATCTTCACTAAAGCTTTGGGTCAACGGCAGTTTTCTTATTTTTTGTCCAAGTTGGGCATTCGAAATCCGCATGCTCCACCTTGAGGGGGGGTGTTACGATATATGTATATATATTTGTATAGGGTTAGTTTCGTCCTTTGTACGTACTAGGGTTTTCACCGTAAATCCTAAATGATGTGTATATATAGTCCCTCTGTGGACCGATCAATGCAATATAATGTTTTATGCCGGTCATTTAGTTTATGTCAAATCACTTTTCTAACTTATTTGAATTCGAGCTACCAACAAATTAACTTGTTCTTTGCTTCATGTCATTGTGCTAAGTGCTAAGAAACGAAATGAAAAGAATCAAGTTTACACTGAAAGCAGAACCCAAATACACCAGCCCCATAGTAAAAGTGAAGTACCAGAAGTACATGAAATATTGTATGTAATTTGGGGATTGACAAACCCCTTATGTAGTTTAGAATAAACTGAAATAATTCTTGTAAGAATTACATATTCACTTATGGAGTACCAACTACTACTTCAAGTATGCGATATACATGTATTCTCTTTGATTATAATTCTGATCCTGTAACACAGTTTGATATATGGTACTACATCCGTCCCAAAAAAATCCACATTGAGTTTAACAGTAAACTCAATGTGGACTATTTTTTTGGGACTGAGGTAGTAGGATAAAACAACTTCACATGAAGGCTACTAAGTAAAAAATCGATGACCGAAATTTTAGGAAAACAACTTCAATCTTTTCTCTCTTTTTTTTTTCTTTTTCTTCTTTTTTTTTTTTTTTTTTGAAGAAAACAACTCCAACCTTTTTTTTTTTTTTGGGTACAAGTAAAGGAGGCATATTGCTATATTATTACATAGCGCTGATAGGATACACTAATTACATCATGATGGAGCCATGCTTTCAACTTCAATCTTCAATTACATAATATACATGCATTCTCTTTGATTAGCTCACCAATTATCGGCCATCACTTCTATGCCCGAAATTCGTGAGATTCGCAGCTTCAGGGTTCATTAATGAGGGCTTCACGAATCAGTAAGCAAACCTTCCAGGTACCTCTCGACGCAATCTAAGCCACAGAGGTTCTTCACCACGGGCAGAATAGCCGGGACATCCAACTGGAATGTTAAATCCGTCCCATCAAGCTTTCCCCATGATTTTAGCTGTTTCCTGGCTTCCTTAATCGCTGCCCTTGTTGCACAATGCACCGATGCTGCCAGAAGCAATGGCGGTTCGCCGGAGGCTGCAAAAAGGGTTCATTTCCAAGAGGCCGATCTGTCATCTCAGACGTTTACTGGCTTTACAGATATATAACCAAAACATGTTGATGCCACAAATCAGTGAAATGCCAATGCCTCAGTATCTTTATTGTTTTGGTGGTAAATACCCCGGTATGACTTACTTTGTTAATAACTCAAGAAAATCCTTAATAGAGGCACATCAAGATGTTGAATTCCGACCAAGAGTATTATGCGTTTCAACATGCATGTTAGTCATATGAAGTTACTTAAAGTTCCCTCTGCTCACAAGATCATTTCAAAAGCATAATAGCATTTTAAAAATTCACACTTACTGCAAGATCGAATACTGGATAGTTCAATGAGCAAAATTCATCAAATTGCAACTTCTTCTATGGAACACGATTCCATTTTCAAATATGTCATTCAAGATTATGGCAGATGGAAACCCAAATATGGTACCTATCATGTTGAACTTTTCAAGAAATACCTTTAGACGATAAGACACGATTTTTGTGATGTCCACTACTTAGCACCTCAACATTGAACTGCTTTGGTATGGTATCAATGGTCGGGATCTTGTATGTCCATGTGCTGTCTGAAAGCAACAATCCATCCGCATTGACAACGTACTCTTCAAGCATGAAGAACCCGATTCCTTGGACAAAAGATCCTTCAATCTACAAGACAAAATTTCAGCCTTGTAATTTCGAATTGGAGCTCATTGCATCAGTATGAAGAATAAAAAAAACTCATTACTCAATAGTGGTCAAAAGATTTCTACGTGTATTAAATGACATTATTTACCTGTCCCAAATCAACTGCAGGATTCATGCTCTGTCCACAATCATAGACGATATCTGTTCTTAGAATGCTAGTTTCTCCAGTGAGTATATTTATCTCTACCTGCAGGACCCCACAAGCTCATCATTTTGGTATTTTATCATAGCACTAAAAGTATATCATTTTGATCCATTAACATCTTGTATCCTGATTTTTCAATGATTATGCTGCTTTTCTTTCCTTTATTCTTCGAAGAATGTGAAAGGTAATGTTGCTCCAGTACAATTGCATCATTTAAGGTCCAACTTAAAAGAAATCTTATGAAATACGGAAAAGTAACATAAGTCTTATCATAGAGGTGAAGACGTTGTACTTAAGTTACCTCGCTGACAGCAGCACCATAGTTTAGATATTCCACGATAGCAGACTCAGGTACAAAATAAGAGTGTGAGGACATGTTCACCGCTCGAGAATGAGCCTACGATATGCGAAAAACACCAAGATTGAAAGGGCTAAAGATTGCATCACGACAAGATAGTGATATCATTAGAATGAATACAAAAATTTAGACAGCTTAAAGGAAAATAGATCTTAATATTAAGATGTGCCTCCAAATACATTTTTCACCTACCAAAAATCATAAGAGGCGATAGAGCATTTGAAAAGATCAATTTCTAACCAAGAAGACATTGTATTTCTCAAGTATTAGCAACTCCTCTCCCAAAACAAAGCATCCAGTTTGTTGTACTAAATTAGTTCAAGAAACCAGATTGGTTCTTGTCTGGAGACGGTGGGAGTACCAGTTTGTTATTTTCATGCACCAACCTCATTGGTCTAAGTCAAAAGTTCCAGAAAACTTAAAGGTGAACGTGACTCACCGATGCAATGCTAGCATTAAACTGATTTAATATGAAGGTATAATGCTTTCTATCATCATAGATTAAGAGGAAGTTACTATCATATCACACCATATTAACATTGAGAACTGCAAAAAAGCATCTCACGGATGAAAAGGTACCTGAAGCACTAAGGAATCCCAGTTAACATGTCCCATTTGCTCCTGCAACTCACTTTTAAGTCGACCTAATCTTTCAACTAAAGTGTTACAGCATAATCTAACAGCTTCGCAACTTGCTTCGGATGTTGTGCTGCCAGCAGTGAGACCACCTTGAACTAAGCTTAAGCTGTCTGCTTGTACCACTCGTACCTTTTCCACAAGGTTTTCGGTTCCATCACATCCAACTAAGCTTAAAGCATATGCGGTCATTTGTTTCACCTTAGTCCACAGCCCCTGACCAATTTCCACTCCTCCAACTTCTACTACAATAGACCCATCGCAAAGAATGCTAACTTTGCCTGGGGTTGGTCTTAGTGATACTCCTTGCACAATGGGAACCCTAGAGATGCCTCTTTTTCTCCATATTGTTTCCTGATTAAATTGCTCTACCTCTTTCTTTCGCTGTATCAAACATGAAGACATTCGCAGCTTATCCCATATATCAGGCAGAGTATACTCTGGTGCTTCACCTACAGCTCCCTCATAGAAAACACCGAGGCTTTCGAATGTATGAAGATTAATGTTCCTCACAGCATCAACCTCCATCGAAAGTGTTGAAGCAATATTTTCTATTACGGCTTCAGCAATAAAGGATCCTTGCACCTCCCCAGGAGCTCTCATGGCTGATTTGCTTGAATGATTTGTCTTGCAAACTTTGAAATCAAAAGACAGAGCTCCCCAGTTATACTTTTTAAGGGGACCAATAATGGTGAGTGGCATCATTGGGCTTAGATCTGTATACATTCCAGCATCAATCAATATATCGAGGTGCAATGCTGAAATTTTTCCATTTGATTTGAATCCAACACTGTAAGTTATTTTCATAGGATGTCTTCCGCCAGAAGTTATCATGTCAGTCTTGCGGTTGAGATATGTCCTGACAGGACGACGCAATTTGTGTGCTGCAAGTGCACATGCTGTAGCGATCTAAACAAAACTACCGTAAGTATTTGCACAAACACTTGAAATTTGAAACTACAAGTCACAATTTATCATGCAAATCTATCGCACTCACAGGAAATCCTGATGTCTGGGATTGAGCTCATATTTAAAACACACACTGATAAGTCAGGAATCATTAAGATCTATGAATGAGCTCCACTTATAGCTACATGTTCATAATCACTAGTATGCAACTCATACAAGGGGCTCTATTCAGAAAAAAATAAATCCGTGTACATTATGTTTTCAGCTATTTCCTGTAGCCCCAAAGTTAAGCTCATTGCTTACAACAAATCATGTAATAGAAAGTTTCAGATACAATAAAATGAAAATTATGGTAATGCATGGTAACGTAATGCTCACTTGATTAAAGGCCTTCACAGCAATATGTTATATTAATGTTAAGACAGAAAAAGCATGCCCTATGACAAGCTACAACAAAGAAAAAAGTTGTGGCATTGGAAACAAAAAATCCTCAAATCAGTAGATAGCTAGTTTATGAATATTATTTTTCTTTTTAATCTTTTCTTATAGAGTTCAACACTTACAGGCGTTGCTTTTGTTGCCTTTCCCCCAAAGCCTCCACCTACCCTTCTGGTAATTGCACGTACATTGTGTTCTGGAATGCCAAGACATTTTGCTGTTACACTTTGAATATATTCTGGGCACTGGCTTGAACTATAAACCACCATACAATTGTCTTCATCCGGGAGTGCCAGGGCAGTTTGTGTCTCCATGTAGAAATAGTACTGGGAACCAAGTTTGATCTGGAAATCACATCAGGAGACATGGTCACAAGCAGTATCTAATATGGAATGGTACTTTGGACAACATAAAACACCAGCAGAAGATTCGAGAAACAGAGAGAGAGGAAAATTGATTGCATTACCTCAGCAGAAATTATCTTATGATCCGCTTCAGCCATTCCTTTCGAGAAATCACCAAAATTTTCCCGATAAGGAATGCCAAAAAAGCTTGACTTCTCAACAGCTTCTTCAACCGATAAAATTGGTGGATCTAGATTCTCAATGTCATAGTTCACCACAGCTGATCTTGCCGCTATATCAGCGGACTTTTGTGTCTCTGCCACCTAAGTATATTGTTGAATTTACAATTATTAAAACTGATATATTAGAAACTAATTATGAAGAGTACTGAGTTTCATGCTGGTAACAATCTACATTTATTAGAGAGGTAATTACCACAAATGCAATCAGTTCACCAGTCCCCCTGGTAAGGTCATCTGCGAATAAAGGATCAAAACCAAAAAAGCTCTTGGATCCCACATTTTCCCCTGCTTTTGGAATGTCTTTGTAAGTAATGACAGCAGCAACACCGCTGAGTTGAGTGCCAGACTTGAAATCAATACCTTTGACCCTCGCCAATGGTTTTGTACTGTAAATAAACGCACCATGCAGGCAGTTTGGAGGTGATGAGACATCATCAACATAAACAGCTTCCCCTGCACAATTAACCAATTTAAATTAGTAGCATGAACGCAAATTCTATCATGTTCAATCATGTAGATTCGGTGGGGGTGCAACTGAATAGGAGAAGGAAAACATCATCCAAATGATCAGCGCTGAAGAGTGAAGATATTAGTAGAAGGTTCAGAAGAAAGGAAAACAAGAGTCTTGACTGTTTTGGAACTGAAAACATACAAACACATTTTATCCTCAAGGTCTAAAAGTAAAATCAATGCCGATGAACACTAACCAAGTCTAGGACAATTTGTCTTGGAAAAATAAATTAAAAAAAAAAGACCATAAGAAACCTGAAGCTTGGAGTGCAGCAGCAGTCTTCACTATTGGAGCTCCAACTGGATAGTAGTTTCTACTGGATTTCACATCTTGTTTCGCAGGTAACAATAGTGTTGAACTTTCCATTTCACCAATGGAGAACTCATTAAGATTTGCGGATTGGGAGTCCAATAAATGGCCTTTAATTCCATTAGATAAACCATTCGTAACAGCAGAAGCAGCATTGAGAAATGGTGAAAGAAACTGGAAAAGGAAACTAACAGCCAAACTTGCCCGGTAAGCAGCATGCGATGTATTAGATTCAGGTGTTACATCTGCTTTAACTAATTTCACAGCTGCATACAAAACATCAGCAGTAAGTAATTTTCCTGAAAGATGTTCCTCAACCTTCCTTGCGCGTATCGCATGCTTTGTACCATAAGCACCAAAAGCTAACTTGATATGATTTACAACTGCTCCATTT